GTGTACTATAGCTGTGTAAGATGTCACCATCGGGGGAAGCTTGGTGAAGAGTACTTGAGACATGTCTGCACTATCTTTGCAACTTCCTATGAGTCTATAATTTTTTCAGAGTAAAAAGTTAAAATAAGGCTGGGCATGGTGGCTCATGCTTGTAATCCCAGCACTTTGGGAGGCCAAGGCTGGAGGATTGCTTGAGCCCAGGAGTTCAAGGCGAGCCTGGGCAACACAGGGAGACCCTGTCTTTACAAAAAAAATTAAAAAATTAGCTGATCGTGATGCGAGCCTGTAGTCCCAGCTACTTGGGGTGCTCAGGTGGGAGGATCACTTGAGTCAGGGAGGTCGAGGCTGCAGCGAGTCATGATCATGCCTGGGTGACAGAATGAGACGCTGTCTCAAAAAAAAAAAAAGAAGAAGAAGAAAAGAAAAAGCACCCTTTGGAGGAGTCAGTGCCTGTCAAAGCCCCAGAGAGCATAACAAGCAGTCCAAGGGAAGGCCAGTGCTATATCGGATCAATCATCATCATTATAACGCTAGCAGTTACTTTGTGCCAGTGCTGCAGTAAGCATTTTTTTTTTTTGGTAATAACTTTATTAAGATATATTCATATACTATACAATTCACCCATTTAAAATGTGTAATTCAGTGGCTTTCTGTATATCCACAGAATTATGCAACCGTCACTATAATCAATTTTAGAACATTTTCATTACCCCAAAAAGAAACCTGCACTCTTAGTCATCAACCATAATCCCCACTGCCCCATAATGCTAGGTGGCCACAACCTTTCTTTCTCTATGGATGTGCCTGTTCTGGAGATCTGCTGTGAGTAGAATATACCATGGAATATACCATGCTGTGACTGGCTTCTTTGACTTAGCAGAATCTTTTCAAGTTTTATCCGTGTGTACCAAGCACTTTACCTACATTGACCTATTTAATTCTTACAGCAACTGGAACTGTGTGTATTGTTGTTATCCTCATTCAATAAATAAGGAAACTGAGGCATGGAAGGGTGGAGTGACTTGCTCACGGCCACAGAGTGAGTGACAGAACAAAATCTAATATATAAAGCAGATAAAAGCAGAGTTGAGGCCTGAGTGGGAGTCTGGACTCCTCCTCTGCTCCTCTTACTCCACCTTCCCCTCCCGGTCAGTCCTTGAGGCACTCCCATGAAATCCAGGGCACTGATTGAATGCCACTGTCTTAGACTTCATTTTCTCTAATTATAAACTGGGCACTGTGAGGCCTGCCCTGCCTTTCCTCAGAGTTGGTGCACAGTCATGTATCAAAGGGCAGCAAGTGCTACAGGGAGCCTCCCTGCTCCCCTAGACCCCATAACAGGAAGGAGAAAGAGGTACTACATATTTTTGAGCTTTGTGGGCTGCCTTGTACCCATTGTAGCCTGATTTCTCTTTGATCTGGGACAAGACTGTTCTGGTTTTGCACTCAGCAAGGCACTGTTGTTTTGTTTGTTTTGAGTCAGAGTCTCGCTCTGTTGCCCAGGCTGGAGTGCACTGGCATGATCTCGGCTCACTACAGCCTCTGCCTCCTGGGTTCAAGCGATTTCTGGCTAATTTTTGTATTTTTAGTAGAAATGAGGTTTCACAATGTTGGCCAGGGTGGTCTCAAACTCCTGACTTCACGTGATCTACCCACCTCGGCCTCCCAAAGTGCTAGGATTACAGGCATGAGCCACTGCACCTGGGCAATCTAGGTACTGTTTTTGCACTCAGTGTCTGGTTCCTGTCACCTACTGGAGTAACTCGTTATCTGTTCAAGACTGTTTGGCCAGCCCTTGGCCTGGTCTCATGCTATGTCATTTGGCCTATCCCCAAAGCCCTGTGTGTCCCCTATCCTGGGATCCCATACCACATTCTTATTTTCAATACCTTTAACACTTTAGTCCCCAAAAATAGGTAATAGTTTACTAAAATGCATACTCATACAAATGAGTGATTTGGGTTAGGAGATTTAGATAGGATCAATTTATGATCCTACAAAATATCTGACGGTAGGCAGTAAATGTGGCTTTAAGCTCAGCAGCCAAGGCAAAGAGGGAAATGCAAGCAGCTAGATTATTTCCAGTGTCCATAAGACTAAAAACATATTTTCTTATAAGAAGCAAAGCTTTTCTTGGAAGTTCCTAGGGCTGAAGGGAATTTCTTCTGCTGGGGACTCATAATAGGCATGATGTATATATCCCATGTGAACAAGCTTCTCAAGGGCCCTTGGCCACATAATCAGGTCATTAAATGTCCCTTGATGCAGGCTGATGGCAGAGACCAGAAGCACAGCTGGGTCAGGGCAGGACAAGGCAACCCAAGGGAATGATTCTCTGATGTTGGGTTTGATGTAAGAATAAAATTTTAATGACTTGAAAACAGTGGGTGGCAAACATTTTTTGTAAAGAGCCAGATAGTAACGATTTGAGGCTTTGTGGGCCATGGGGTTTCTGTTTTAAGCCCTCAGTTCTGCCTTTGAGGAGTAAACACAGCAATAGACAGCACATAAACAAATGGGCATGGCTATGTTCTAATAAAGCTTTATTTATAAAAGCAGGCTGTGGGCTGGATTTGGCCTGTGAACCATAGGTTGTCACCCAGGAGCTAAAAGGGCTATGCATCCTTGAGACAATCAGCTGTGGGGGGAATATGTCTCTTAACTTAGCTTGGAATAAGAAGAATCAAGTTAAATGTTTGAGCTATTCTCTGGAGCAAGAATGCAGAGTACAGGCATTCATTCTGTGTTCCTATCATCGGACAGATTTGTGTGCTTTGAAAATCTCCTAGCACATAGAGGTGGGATCCTGAAATAAGGAACAGAACATCCTGCCAGGGCTTGTGCCCGAGGAGAAAGTCACTTGGCAAACACCAGCAGGGTGGCATGAGAGACCCATCCAGGCTGGGTGGGATCTGAAGGAAGGAGACAGGCACAGTTTAGCGGATGGGCCAGCACAGTGCAATAACGTTTATGTAGGCCAGTGGTTCTCACAGTCTAACCCCTGGACAAGCTGTGTCAGCATCACCTAGGAACTTTTTAGAAGTGAAAATTCTCAAGCCCTGCCCCAGACCTATTAAATTCAGAGCTCCGAAATTAGGGCCCAACCATCCGCATTTGAACAAGCCCTCCAGGTGCTTCTAAAGCAAGCTCAGGTTTGAGAACTGCTGATGTCATCCATCATAACTTCTGTGTTTCTCCTCTTGAGCAGGGAGAGAGCCAGAGGATTCTCCAAAGCCAGGACCCAAGTCTTCTCTGACCATCAGTTTTGTTCAGAAAGCCAAGCGCCAGAACAACACCTTCCCATTCTTTTCTGAAGGAATCACATGGAACCGAACTGCCCAGGAGAAAGTAGCAGCCTTGGAGCAACAGGTTCTGATGCTCACTAAGGAGCTGAAGTCTCAGAAGGTGAGGTCTGGTCCCAGAGAGGCCCAGGTTCCAGTGGACCCCTCCAGTTCCTGGAGCCTTTCGAACAAACTAGATGGGATGCAGTAGCCCTGCTGGGCACCAGCAGGTGTGGTCTTTAAAGGCCAGCAGGCACTAGCTCTGGTGTTTAAAGGCCAAACTGCGGAAGGTTGAAATATGCTGTTGATTACTCAAGAACCTAATGTCACTCAAAGCAAGTCACAAAAGGGCACCAAGGGCAGGTATCTCTGGAGATCTACTCTAATAACTGTCCCTTGGACCCCTCCTGGAGGGCATGCATCGTCTCACCCCCTACCCAGAAAATGACAATATTTAGAGGCAGATGATCTGGATCTAGGGTCATGGGAGAAGCTGTCGATAGAACCAGGGGGAGGCTTTGACCTGGCAGCTGATATCTGGGCACAGATATCTGAATGACTGTCACGAGACTGTCACAGGAGAAAGCAAACAAGCAGCATGTGTGTGGCCCAGTGCTAAGCCAGGACCAACACAGAACAGTGACAGGAATATCTGGGCTTAATATGGTAAGAAGTTAATTATGAGAGTTACAAAAGGGAAGAGCTATATAGTCATTGTAGAAAACAGATCTCACACACACAGACATTAAAACTACTCCAAAATCCTACATCCCAGAGAGCAAATGGTATTAAAAGCCAGGGGCTACCTTACGAAGTAGTGAGAGTCCCAGGGCGGGGATGTGAGGGGGTTTCAGCTCCGGGCGGCAGCCCCTCTGTAGAGTGATAAAAGTGACTAAGGCAGTTACATAAATCCCAAGGGTGGGGCCTGGTGGGGCCTGGTAGGGCCTGTGGTGGCAGTGGTGGGCTCCACTGAGGGCCTAGACTGCTTTTTCTCCAGAGAAAGGCCTCAGCTTTTGTGTTTAAACTTTGGCTGCTTGGAGGCCCTTTCTGCTTTGTGTCCCAGTCCTGACTCCAGAGGACTTAGGCTGGGGAGGTGGGGCTTATGCCCTATTACCTTCTGAATACTTCTTATCACTTGTACATTTCTTTTCTTTTCTGCCCTGTTTTGGGGGGAAGAAATCTAGAAAAAATGCTTTCCCTATACCTGGTTTGGCCCCTCGTCTGCCTTTTCTGCCCCTAAGCAGTGACCACTGTCAGCAGATCTCAAGGGAACTGGCAGAGGCTTCATTCCTGGCATGTCAGGAGTTACTTTTTTTTTTTTTTTTTTGAGATGGGGTCTCACTCTGTCATCCAGGCTGGAGTGCAATGGTGCAGTCTTGGCTCACTGCAACCTCCACCTCCTGGGTTCAAGAAATTCTCCTGCCTCAGCCGCCCAAGTAGCTGGGATTACAGGCGCCTGCCACCATGCCCAGCTAATTTTTTTTTTTTTTTTTTGTATTTTTATTAGAGACTAGGTTTCACCATGTTGCAAGGCTGGTTTCAAACTCCTGACCTCAAGTGATCTGCCCGCCTCAGCCTCCCAAAGTGCTGGGATTACAGATGTGAGCCACCGTGCCCGGCCAGGAGTTACATTTAATGAAGCAACTGGTGATTAGAGATTAGAGTTCTCAAAGGAGGGGGCTCATTTATTCATATGTTCTTAACTCATGTGTTTATTCACCAAATCTTTATTAAGGGCCTGTTATGTGCATGTAGTGTTCCAGGTGCTGGGAAAGAACAATGAGCAAAAGGCACAGGCTCTGCCCTTATAGGGCTTGCATTTCATGGCAGAGACAGACATTAAACAAAGCAACACCCAATGTGTAGTTATACCACGTGAAGTCCCGTCTGCTGCTGCTTAGCAGCCCAGCTGTCTTTTCCTCCTGTCATCATGGTGCTCCTGTTGTGAGGCTGCTGGACGCTCCTGAGAGCTGAGAGGGTGTGAAACAGAGCCATAGCAGCTACTCGATCCCTGGACTGGTAGAGCTTAAATCCCAAACCCAAACCTGGAAAGAAAAAGAAATCCTGAATATATGGGCAACCTCCCTTGACACAGTCTTTCTTTCTAATACATTACAAATTGTCAGATGAAGTAGAAAGGCCCCGGGAGACCTAGATTTCATGAAAGTTTGCCCCTGATTGCTCTGCATCTCTGGGGGACTCGTCATTCTTCAAAAAATAAAGGCAAGATTCTTGGCGATTAATAAGGGTTGCCCAGGCTATTGACAACTCCCATATATTCAGAGGGAAATTGTCAGGAGGAAGTTGTTGACTCATTGAAGAATCTGGATTTTTTTTTCACCAGGTAACCTTCCACCAGACCTCAACTTTGTGTCCTGGGACAGACGGTCAAAAGGAGAATGAGTTGTGATTTATTTAGTTTATCTATTTATTGTGCAATATGAGTGGATTTGTGTGTTCTTCAACCCATTCCACAAATGCACTTCAGTCTTCAGGATGATTCAAAGCACCGGCCTTTAAATAAGACAGCACAGGCTCAAATTCTGGCCCTAAGAAGTTTCTTAACCTCTCTAAGCCTCAGTTTCCTCTTCTGTAAGTGCAGTTACAGCCATGTTTACTGGAGAGACCTGTGCCCAGATTCATAAAGCCCAGTACCTGGCACCCAGCAGCTGCCCAACAGATGCAGGCTCTGGTTGTTCTGGCAATTACTGCAGCCCTCCTTACCCTCCATGTCGATCTCTTCCTGCCCTACAAGCAGTGAGGTGCCCTGCTGAGGGGCTCTGAGACAGGCGGGAAGTGAGAGCCCATCAGTGCCTCCAGGAAATGTGCCGTGGGGCCATCCCAGTGATCGGGGAACTTCGGTCTTTATTCCACATTAGGAAGGGAGGAACGGCAGTCCTGTCCTCTAGGGTTTCAACTATAGCCCAGATACTGAAACCAAAGAGGTGAGACAGAAAAAGCCAGCACAACTTCTGGGTGCCCAGTGGTGCCCCCAGGCACTCAGAATGCTGCTGGGAGAGCCGCTGTGCATCTGAGACCCTCATTAGAGTCCCATCCATCAGCTGGGAAGATAGGCACCTGGACTCCCAGGAGCTGCCCCTGTGAGGTACCTTCCTGCGTTTCTTTAGTGGGAAGGCACCTCCTGTCTGCCTCAAGCTTCAGGATGACATGAGAATTCGGCGTCTTATCCTGGCTCACCTGGCCATTGCCAATGGCTTTAGTGACTCTTTAGGACTTTCCATCTCAAACACTGTGAGATGCTCTTGAGAGCACACTGGGGACAAATCCCTGCCCTTGGGCACCTCACCGTCTAGTAGGGCACCTCACTTCTCTAGTAAGAGAAGATGTGAACACGGGAACTGCTGGTATGAAGCACGGCCCCAGGACTGTGCTGAGCCTTCCCGTGTATTTTCTCTGTCCTTACAATAGTTGTCATCCCCTTTCTCTGAAAAGGAAACTGAGGTTCTCAGAGCGTCTGCATGCTCAGGGTCTCCCAGAGGCTGAGCCAGCATTTGAGGAGCTCAGAGGAGTTGGGTGACTCGCCCATGCTCAGGCAGCTGGAAAAACCAGGATTGGGGTTCTAACCTCCTTCTCCAGGTCTAGAGGCTGGGCTGCCTCTCCTCCATAATCTCTTGGTGAGTCCCAGTATGAGACACAAGCACCAAAACTGCTCTTGAGAAAAAAATGAATGCACTCCCTGTATACCCCCTGGTGTCATATCAAACCACGGGGCGACTCTAATACCCATTAAGCCATTATCTGTCCCCGCACCTGCAGCACTGGCCCCACAAGAGGTTTGGGCTCTAGGAGATAGCACCAGATGGCTGATTGGCCGGGGACTGACCCTTGGAGTTGACAGAACTACACCCAGCCTGAAGACCGTCTGCTCTGGCAGATGGAAGGCTGTTGTCTGTGGTGATGTTGGCCATCTGTTGGCGGCTGGGAATGATGAACCCCTCTGGAACCCTGCCTGCAGCCCTCTGGGGCCACCTTAGTTCAATCAGGATTACTGGGTAAAGGAACGTAATTTTTTAGCAAACTTGGTGGGGCAACGTGCAGCCTCTTACTTTCCTAGAACTCCAGCCAAAAACTTCAGAGGACATGAAAGAGGGCTGGGAGGTACCTTGGGCATGTCAGCTTGGGGAGGGACACTTGGCACTTTCTCTCTCATGCTAGAGGCAGTTCTGAGTGGAGGAGGAACCGTTAGCCCCATTCATGAGAAAGCAGAGGTTCAGTGAAGAGGCCCCCTGAGCCACCCTCCTGAGAGTCACCTCATTAGATACACCCCCACGGATCCAGAATGGGAACCAAGGCCTGTGAACTCCAAAGCCCATGCCCCTTCATCTGACCCCTGTAGGGCCCACCACTGATGAAAGTAGCAATGCTCTAAAAAGATAAAGGGTTATTTTTTAAAGATGATTTATTGATTTTTAAAAATTTAAATAAAATAACAACTTAAGACCAGGTATAAAAATCTGAGATGAACCAAACAACTCGATTGAGAGATATTAAAAGTACTACTTGGGCCGCGCATGGTGGCTCATGCCTATAATGCCAACAGTTTGGGAGGCTGAGGTGGGAGGATCTCTTGAACCTAAGAGTTCAAGACCACCCCGAACAATGTAGGGAGACCCTGTTTCTACAGAAAATAAACTAATTAGCTGGGCATTGTGATGCATGCCTCCCAGCTTCCAGGGAGACTGAGGCAAGAGAATCACTTGAGCCCAGGAGGTTGAGGCTGCAGTGAGCCGTGATTGCACTGCTATACTCCAGCCTGGGCAACAGAGTGAGACCCTGTTTAAAAAAAAAAAAAAAAAAGAAAGGCTTAATTTCATCAACCCCTCTATTTTTAAGAATTGGTCCTAAGACATTGCTTATAATCCAGACTTTAGGTTTCCTGAATTCATGACATTCTCACTCCTCATCTTACAGGTCCTATTGAGGCTCCCTCCCTCTGCCCTGGTTCCTTTCTTTCAAGCCTATTTTATTCTGGTACAAGAATTCTGGGGGTTGGAGGAGAGCCTCCTGGGCTGTTGTCTTGGTCTTAGATTCTGGGAGCCAAATGCAATAAGGAGACAGCTAGATGTAATGAAATGAGCTTTGGAGTCAACTCCCCAAAACTGAGGGAAAGATACCCACCTGGTTCTGCTCCTAGGGCAAGTCTGAACAATGATGTCTGTTGGTTATTTTACTGGGCAGTCATCCAAGGTAATCTCCAAGTCTCAGCTGAAGCAGAAAATGGCCTAGGCTCCCAGTTATCCTGGAGCCACAGGAATGTTAATCTCTCTCCACTGAGCCCTGAGAAGCTGACTTCTTCATTCTGAACATTCCAAACATTCTCTTTTGGTTTGCAATCACTGTGCTGTCCTCACCCCACCTTCCTGCCACACCCCAGGGCTCCCACAGCTCCATGGTAGTTCTTTCCTTCCTCCAGCTCTTTACTGGGGCTGTGGCTTGGCCACATTCAGAGGGCTGTCCCTACCCTCATCTCCCACCTGCTGCTTGGCCATCTCTGGCCCTTCTCATTCTTCACGGTTTCATTTAAATGCTCTGGACTGGTATTCCCCGCAACCTTCACCCCATACAGAAGTCATTTCCTTTCCCACAAACACCCTTGTTCCCCTGACTTGCAGTAGATCATTCCACTGAGGTGGGTCGCGTTCATTCCCACCAGCCTTTGCAGTCCTTGGAGGTGGGAACTCTCACCAGTCCCTCTCTGGGCCACAGCACCTGGCTCAGGGCCTGGCCTGGCACCCAGTGGTGCTCGGTAAAGGTTGGACAGATGGATGGGGGTGTGAAAGGAAAAGAGAACCTGAGAAAGGATGGTCACTAGTCCTAAGGTTTCAGAAGATGCAGGCTAAGGTGGTCTTGTCATTAGCTTCTCCAAAAAAGTCATGGTTTCTGGCAGTTCTCCTCTAATATAGAATTGTTCTTAGCAAATAAGCCTATGCAGCCAATCCATTTGTTTTAATACTTTGGTATAGTATAGTTGACATGTCTCTAGGAAACCATGTTTTTCCAAATGAGAAGCACAGAGCAGGGCAGTGTTGCCTGAAAGTCATACCTACCTGGTATGAGGTCCACGTGGGCCTGGCTGCTGATGTCTTGATCCTGGCCCAGAATGAATTCACATCCCTGCGTTAGGACAGATAGGCCTGAGTCCAGGCATGGCCCTCCCTGGGGACATTACAGGCTTAAAGGCACAGGGAGCTGAGCAGACCTTGAGTTCCTGTGTGAATCAGTTGACCCTGCTGAGGAATAAATCAAGCTCTGTTGTTTCTGAAATTTCTAGAGTTCCTTCCACGAGCTTTGCAGGCATCAGCTGGTGGGCTGGAGGGAACTAGGCACAAATGGGTTGAATGAGGCCCTCTGTGCGTGGCTTTACATGGGGATTGCCAGTGTATTTCCTCTTTAATGCTGCCTCAATTTGATTGGTAGTGACTAGATGCTATATTGAGAAGGATTCTGAGGCCTCAACTAGGCTGTGCAGGAAGAAGTATGGGAGATGAACTAATAATGTCTGCCACAGGGATGATGAGGGAAAAGTAATGCCACATAGCTGCCACCCCTGGTTTTCTTAGTGACTGAGCACAGGCTTTGGAATCTGGCCAGTTGAGACTGAATTCCACTCTACTCTCTGCTGGGCCTCAGTTTGTTCATCCCTGAAATAGATGTGTATATGTCAGGGTATGGGTTCAGGTCCTGTAACAAAAACATCTCCACTGGGCATGGTGACTCACACCTGTAATCCCAGCACTTTGGGAGACCAAGGTGGGCAGATCATTTGAGTCCAGGAGTTTGAGACCAGCCTGGCAACATGGCAAAACCCCATCTCTACAAAAAAAAAATACGAATATTAGCCTGGTGTGTTGGCATGTTCCTGTGGTCCCAGCTACTTGAGAGGCTAAGGTGGGAGGATCAGCTGAGCCCAGGAGATTGAGGCTACAGTGAGCCATGTCCGTACCACTGCACTCCAGGCTGGGTAACAGAGTGAGATGCTGTCTTAAAAAAAAAAAAAAAGGTTCAAAGCACTGTGGCCCAAAACGAGTGAGAAGTTTCTCACTCACATTAAAGAACCCAGAGGTAAGTGAGCAACTCTGAGCTGGCGAGCAGCCCTTTCTCAACACGTACCTTCTGCTGTGGCTCTGAGGCAGCCATGCTAGTTCCTGCCACTTCCCAGCCAGAAGCAAAGAGAACTGGACCAGGGGAGCATGTGTCTACTGGTTTTAAAGGTAGGACCCAGAAGCTGCCCATCTCACTTTTCATTTCCCATTTAGGCAGAACAGTCACTGGGCTACACCTCACCATGGCTTGGCTGGGAGATGCAGTTTGAAGCTGGGGAACCATGTGCCCAGCTAACACTCACTTGAACAGAGAAGGAGAAAGTGTCAGGATGAGATGTCGCAGGGATGCTGCTGGGCACCTGTCAGGGTGGTTAGGAGAACTACTGATAACATATGCCCCGCTCTGGCGCCCAGCAGGCCCTCCCTGAGCTCACAAGATGCTTCCCTCTTCCTGCCCAGGAGCTGGTGAAGATCCTGCACAAGGCACTGGAGGCCGCCCAGCAGGAGAAGAGGGCGTCCAGCGCATACCTGGCGGCGGCTGAGGACAAGGACCGGCTGGAGCTGGTGCGGCACAAAGTGCGGCAGATCGCGGAGCTGGGCCGGCGGGTGGAGGCTCTGGAGCAGGAGCGGGAGAGCCTGGCGCACACAGCGAGCCTGCGGGAGCAGGAGGTGCAAGAGCTACAGCAGCACGTGCAGCTGCTTATGGACAAGAACCACGCCAAGCAGCAGGTCATCTGCAAGCTCTCTGAGAAGGTCACCCAGGACTTCACGCACCCCCCTGACCAGTCTCCTTTGCCCCCCGACGCTGCCGACAGGGACTTCCTGAGCCAGCAGGAGAAGATCGAGCACCTGAAGGTAGGGGCCTTCCCTCCAGGGCCTGCCGGTCCTGCGGGTCCTCTGCCCCGGCCCTCAGGGAAGGGGTGCTCTCCACCCCTAAGGTTTGCTGGGTGGAGTGGGGGATATCCCTTCATCCTAGAATATTTACATTAGAAACACATGTTGATGGGAATATTACTCTACGCTTCTTCACTTTCTTCACCACAAGGCCCAGTGCAGTTTGCCTGGGCCTTGATTGACCCATTAACCAGTAGCCCTGGTATCCTGGGCTACTGCAAAGTGAAGGTGCCTCTAGATTATCAAATGAGAGATGAAAGCCCGAGACTAGCTGAGTGTGGGGCCTGGCCTGGTCAGCCTCCCTTAGTGCCATCCCAGTGCACCCGAGAGCCCTAAGGGGCCAGCACAACCCTCCCCGCACAGTCCTGTGCCCGCACACCATACAGATGACCTGCAACTGGCAATAGTCACCGCTCCCATCTGTAGAATTTATAGGGTGTTTCCTGTGTGCCAGGCACTGCCCTCGGTGCTTTGCCACATTTAGTCCTCGTGCCAGCCCTGTGAGGTGAGGCAGCCACTGGTGTGCTCCCCCTTTACAGATGTGAATGCTGAGGCTGAGAAAGGTTAAGGGGCTTGCCCAGGGTCATGTGCTGAAGAAGTGGGGGAGCTGGAGTTGGGTTGGAGCTCATGTCTGCGGAGCTCCAGTCCACGTCCGGACTGTCTGCTCTGCTGCCACTTCTAGCTACTGCCACCATCCCTGCTCCCCCTTTCCTCCCCTTCTTTCCCCTTCTCTGTCCCTATCTTTCCCTAGGCTTCCCCATCCCACAGGGACCAGTGGTGTCACAGGGGGTAGGAATTTTATGTGAGGTGTGTTGCCTGCCATGACCCGCAGCCTCCTCTCTAAAGGGTTGTGACAGGAACTGTCCCACTGGGAGGCCTGTGACTGTGGAGTGCACCCATAGCCCCCACTGTCCCTAAAGGGAACCATACAACCAGGGTTCGTCCTGCCCCAAACCCTGCCACTCACAACCACATATGTACAGTCAGATGCCATATAATAATGGGCTGCATATGTGGTGGTCCCATAAGATTACAATGGAGCAGGAAAATCCCTATCACATAGTGACTTCATAGCCGTTGTAACATCATAGCACAACACGCTACCTTATCTATGTTTACATGTGTTTAGGTACACAAATGCCATTATGTGACAGCCACCTATGGTATTCAGTACAGTAACAGGTGCACAGGTATGCAACCTCGGAGCAATAGACTACACCATCTAGCTGGGTGTGTAGTAGGCTAAATCACCTAGGTTTGTCTACGTCCACTCTATAATGTTAGCACAACAATGAAATCAACTAGCGGATCACAAGGTCAGGAGTTCGAGACCATCCTGGCTAACACAGTGAAACCCCGTCACTACTAAAAATACAAAAAATTAGCTGGGTGTGGTGGCGGGCACCTGTAGTCCCAGCTACTCGGGAGGCTGAGGTAGGAAAATGGCGTGAACCTGGGAGGCGGAGCTTGCAGTGAGTCGAGATTGGGCCACTGCATTCCAGCCTGGGCGACAGAGTGAGACTCCATTGTCAAAAAAAAAAAGGGGGGGGGGAGAAATCACCTAATGATGCATTTCTCAGAGTTTATCCTCATCATTAAGCGACACGAGACTGTACATATAGACATATAACCTTGAGAACTCTCGTGCTACTCTATCAAGGAACTAGTGGGTGAGGGCAGATGGAGAAAGAAAAAAGAAAAAGAAATCAGGAAGTTTTTGAGAGAAAAACTCTCAGTGAGCAGTGTTGAAGAGTGGCCACCACCCAAGCTTTGAAGTCTGACTGACCTGTTTGGCTGTTGGCTCTGCCTCTTTCTAGCTGTGTGACTTTGGGCATGTTATCTCACCTCTCTTCAAATAGCCCAACTAGTCCTCTTGACTAGGGCTGTTAGAAGGACAAAGGAAAAGGACGTGAAACCTGATTCACTTCCCTTTCATTCAGCAAAGACCGAAAACCCACATAACCAGTTCCTGAATCTTTTCCTTTATTTAGTCTGAAATCAGAGATTCTTTTGGGTTAAAATAAAACATAACCTTTCCAATGCAAATGCAGCTAGATGATTAGAAAGCTCTCAGCCCTCCACACAGCAGAGAAAATGCTTCCATCTGATTGCTTTTCTACTCTGCCTGCCTCCAGCCAGGCGTCTTCCTCTTCTTTCCACCCATACTGCCAGAATCCACTATGCAAGCCCTGGTAGCGCAGCACAGAGGTCAGAAAGATTTGTGGTGGTGCACGCCTGTGTTCCCATCTACTCTGGAGGCTGAGGTGGGAGGATCGCTTGGGCCCAGGAGGTGGAGGTTGCCGTGAGCTGAGATCGTGCCACTGC